CAGTTGATGACTGTCATTAGCTTAAAACTACACACAAGGGCAATTACATCCTCGCTGAAACACAGTTTAAACAAATAGGAAAATGTTTACAAGGCATCCACAGCATGTAAATCATGTACAGATGGATACATTCATTATTTCCCCTCCCCAATAGCTTTTATTTTAGATAAATACTTTACTCTTCCCCATTTTCAGCATTTACTGGACTCATTACATGCACAACTCAAAGAAGTCAGAAAAAAAGTCAAGGTTATTGCAAAAATAGAATTAAACTAAGAATCTTCAAGTACCTTACATGACAGCCACTCTGTACCATGCCCATTGCTTATAAAATGAAAGGTCATCGAACCCATGAAAATATCTCTAATATTTTCTTAATTTAAAATAGATAATTTTAAGTGTATTTATAGTAATCTCAAAGTGATAAATTGAACTTTGAAAATAATGCAAACAATTAAAAATTATACCCATATTACACAAGACTTCTGTCTGTATCTTAAGCTCAAAAAAAATCAAAAAACTATAGAAAACCACATATAGAACAAAAAAATAATCACAATTTACATTATAATAAAGGCAAATTTTCAGCATTTTTAAAAAAACCTGCAGCTGTGAGAGATGTCAAAGCAAGTCACTACTACCTAAAAATTCACCAGTTTGGTTTTTTTAAAAAGATTTTTCTCTAGCAAGAGTTGAAGGGTGTGTTGTACACATGCGTAAAATTCTTACTGGTTTTAGATGCCTAGAATCTTCATATATTATTGCCAAATACACTTATCTTCAAGCAAGCAGTAGGCAACGTATCACAATTTGGACACCGCAGGGAAACCTAACGGTCTGGTAATACAGGTAAAACTGGAAAATTGAAAAAAAAAAAAATAAAATACACATCTGATAGCATATTGCCCAATTGAAATTACTTCCAAGCCACAGAGCTGCAAAGCCTTCCAGCTCGGTAAAGTGAAATAAGAAACGTCTCAAACAATTACTTGTACTCTCTCTCAAGCTTGTGTGTTGCATTTCATTTAGCCACAGTGTATCTTCAGAGTACACCTACAATCCCGTGCACCTCAGGTACATACACCGATCTGCTGAGAGAATATTCCTTCCTTCCTTCTTTTTTAGGGCCAAAGTTCATTACAGATGTAATCAGTATGCCTGAGGCTGGTAAAAATACTGTAGTACAGGCAATGCTAAGAGTGGCAATATCAGAAAACACAAAAATGAACCAATGATGGAAAATTCTAATATCTTTCTGCCCATTTCACAAAATGTTGGAAATCCACCAGAAATTTTCCCTTGTATTGAAGAAATCAGATTTAAAAGTTTTTTCCCCCTTTCAGAATCAAAAGCATTTTAGCAGATTTGTAAGGCTACCACGGATCTTCTAGATCTCCAGCACCCTACAGGAAAAGAAGAGGAGAAATATTACTACTCACCAATACAAATGAAAACATTTTGTTGTACTTTGGATTTCAGTGGCATAATTAAGAAGAATACTAGCATAAGACAGAAAATATTTTCCTTGTTTTTCATACCTGCCCACTTCCACATACAAATACTTGCTTTTTGTCAATGTCATGATGGAATTTACTTTTTTGAAATGTGAACCCAGTAAAGCTATTATAGCAGAATGACTTAAAACCAAGATTTATCTAAAATTGTACTAAATCACTACTATCAATACATCTGTGGACTACAAAATAAAAAAAGCTCTACAAAACACCACTGAACTCAGCTTTTCACATATTCCTGGTCCGCAAGAAATTCCCGCAGGGGCTCATTTTCATTACGGCAGTGAAATTTGTACCTATTTTGAACAATTATATCTTTGTGCAAGTGTTATGTTATGCACTGACGACTGACACAAGAGTTCCAGATTGGAGTTATTAGCAGATGAGCTACCACTATTGCAAAGTCCCAATATTATCACCAACCTACCCAAATGCATGTCCGTGTATGTGCTGCACCCAAAGAGACAAGGAAAAGATTTGGTAGGAAGCAAACTGTAGAAGAATGTTTATTCATTAATACGCCTGACGTTTAGCTTGAACTTGAGAAATGTTGACCCAATACATAGGGTCAACAATAAATAGGATAAATAGGATTATGATGGATGCTCCAAACCAAAAATCACTCAAAGCTTTGTAGAAACTAATGAACACCATGAATTCATGTCAGAAGCTATGAAAAGTTTCAAATCATGTCAGAATGATAACACGCCAAARAAAGTTTATTACTTGCTTAAAAGAGTCAATATGCATACAGATATTATTGCACAGCATAYTCTTTATTTTTGCTTGATCACAAGTTATTATAAGTTGACACCAGGTACTAAATTTAAGTACATTTTCATTTCTGGATATATGCTATGCTACAACCCGTGAAGTAATAAGACCATTGTCTAGAAAACAAGTCTTTATGATGAACAGTGGACACAAACTAAACTGAAAAAAAATCAAACATTGCATAAGTGACAACCTAAAATGTAACAGCTTTTGTAATTTAGTTGTAATAGAAACTATACACAAATCAAACAAAACATGCAGTAAATGATGTTGGGAAAAAATAAAACTTGAAGAATTTGTATAATTCAATAAAATTGCATAAAGATACAACTAAGAAGTAAATTACAACAAACAAACACATACCATCAAAACTATTCGTTAAGAGTTTCTTAAAAGAAAACATACTGAAATGTCTTTTTGTATTATCATGTTAGACTCCTGTTGGTGTCACAGAATTTAAAAAACGAAAATCAAAATCTCAAATGGGAAGTTAAATCTTCAACAACATAAAATGCAATTACTGCAATATCCCATAGCAGTTGAACTTCTAAGAAAATAAGAAACTCTGTATAAACAATGTGTACAAACAACTGAAGTAAAACCAAACAGTCTTCTAGGCTAGCAGTAACAAAGGCGTTGAGATGTAAGCCGAGGAAGCGGCGGCAGGCGAAGCGCAGCGCTCGTTTCGCTGTGGAGTGTCAGGCCTGCTGCTCGCTGCTCTGCTCGCTGCCCGCGCCCTGGCGCGGTGCGGCTGCGGGTTCGGTGGCGGAGCGGGGCTGCGCCGGGGGCTCGGCCGCGCTGCGCTCTGCGCCCGGGCCCTGCAGCTGCGCCAGCCGGTACCCGGCCAGCATCTCCTCCAGCAGGTGGCGGTAGTTCCCCCTATGATTAATCCGCATCTGCCTCAGCGCCTCCACCAACCTCCCCTGCGGTCCGCCTTCCWCGGCCGCGCCGGGCTCCTTCGGTTGAGATTCAACACCCCAAAAAAATCACSAGTTAAACTAAAAGATTCTCTAACCACATTTTAAAAAATAAAAAAAAGTATTTAAAAAAAAAGAAAACCGAAAAAACTACTTTTTTTTTTTTTTCAAACTGAGAAAACATCAGCTTGGCTCTAAATGAATATGAAACATCTTACTAGCAACACACAACTTAGAATAATATATTCCATGTTTCTCCTTTCATACAATATAATTTATGAAATGGTAACTATTAAACCAGCATTTTTAATAATTTCAATTCATTTTGAGCCAGTCAAGGTACCTCCTCCCAATTAACTCCATTTTTATTTCAAATGTATTAGATAAAGATAGATGACAACCCCCATAACTTTGGTCATTTGTCAGTGGAAAATTTTGAAAATTTAAGCTTCTTTAGCCACCAGGTCAACATATTTAATTGTAAATTACTGCACAGGCAGTAGCAGTACAGTTCTGTGAACAACTTAAAGACAAGAAACTACTGATAGCAGTTTAGTTAAAGCATCACATCAAAATAAATGCTCAGTGTTTTAGCAAACACTCTGGTTTTCGCATGCATGATGCTGCCAGAAAAGAAGCAAGCAGCTACCCATGAGCACCAGGAATGCTGGTATTTGAACAATGTAAGGCACACTTTGGGCAGATTGTGTGTCGCCTAGAAAAACTGGCAGATAGAACAGTTACTTAATGTCAAACTTCAGAACCTACAGCACAAAATCTGAATATCAAGTACTGTTAAGGAATGGGAGTCCCCTCAGCAAGTTACCTGCTTGGTTACGAGCCTTCAATAAAAAAAATGTGGTGTTTTTTGATGATAGACTTTCACAACTGCKACAGTGTTTTAACACTGATACTAGGTATTTTCACTGTCAAATGCTAAAGCAGTGCTGTTGCTTTAAGGGAACAGTACATTTTAAATTATTAATATCWAGCAACTTATCAATCTAGACAAATGAAACTGTATCTCTGGAAGCTGGCAGATTTTGCAAGACGTTAGAGGCACAATCCAGACTGTCTTGTTTACATGCTGACCTCATTTTATCATCATRTAGTCCAAAAGCTTCTGAACTAGAAGTGCTGCTGCCACTGATTTACAAGCTTAATAGCAGCATTGAGAAAATATCTTGGGATCARTAAGATTTTGCATGCTCTATGTAGTGTTGCTAGAATAAAAGCCCCAAGACCAATTAGCACAGTCCAAGTTAAAATGGGGACAGTTTTACCACAAGAATAAGTATTACTGCATGTAACAGCATCCCTTTAAGTTTATTTTGCTCAGTAAAAAGAGAAACCACTTTCACAGTRGTCTGCTGTGGTCTTAGTCTGAGATGTTTTGATTCCCATGTACTAGCAGTTTCAAAAAAATATACYCAAATATGAAAATATTCAAGAACTCAATACTCTCTTCAGTGAGGAGAGGCAAGATAAAGGAGGTAGTTTTAATGTATGAAATGGGACTGATTTAATGCCTTCTAAGCATAGTGTCAGTGAAAACTCAGGGCATCAAGAAGAGGCTACAAATGCATCCTGTTTCTTGTTTTGACAAAGAAAAAAATCCACCTGAGTTATGTGTATGTCCAGCTAATATTAACCATGGCAAGACTTCCAGTTTTTTTTTTAAATTCAGAGAACATTTAAACTCCATATTTCGTTCCATCAGTTTTGCTCTGAGGCTGGCCTTACCACATGTACACCCTGAATGTCCACATTTCACAATACCGAAATCTTTATTTCTTTGGCAGAGAATAATTTTGCTGCATGCAACAGTGAAGAGTAAAAGCAATAAGCAATATAATAGCAGCCCTGAGACTACTAAGCAATYCAAATGCTGGTAGGAGCTGAATGAGCAGTGCTGTTAGTATTTGATATTCAAACTCACATCCTGCTTTGTGTCGCACCCTATTTTATCGGCTATTTTGTGCTTCCCCTGTGCCTCTCCGTGCTAATAGACAAGAAACCCCACAGACAGTAGGACACCAACTGCTTCTTCATATAGACAGAGATTTCTCACTCAAGATGTGTGGCTAGAACAGGTCCTTGAAAACTGTGGTTATTGTGCAAGGTAGGATTTGTCTTCTTTCACATTTCAATTCAACGTAAGTGCTACTGACCATAAAAACAAGAATAAGGTTGTGCTACCTATATTCAACATGAGCATTCACAATTTTTACACAAGTTTTGTGCTATTAAACTAAGTGTATGAAAAGGGCTGCTACATATTAAAGTCAGGATTTACAATATTGTGAGAAGGGTGTATGAGTTGTGTCCATTTACATCTTTTAAATTATGTGTAGCAGCCCTTAATGACATATTATTTGGTTCAGCTAACTGCCAGAATGTATTATAAAAGCAAAAGAGAAATATGATTGATTTCAAATAAGATGCTCAAAGGCAGCTTTAAACAAACGCCACTGGAACTATTAACAGAGCCACTAATTTTCACATTGTTCCTTGTGTTTAAGGATACATACATATAGTGAAGTAGTCTAATTGGGTAGTAGTCTCTCAGTCTTAGGAACACATCAAAATTTTAAAAGTCAGAGAAGTAGAGTCATAGAGAAGGAGCAGTGCTTTAACACAGTAAGTAGTACAACTCTTCAGCAGTATTGTAACATCACAGTGTAACAATTATTTAGCTATAAATACATTCTTTCAAATTCCCTTTAAAGATCTGAAAACATCAGGGCCCAACACATAAGAGATTTCTGTGCTTTCACTCCTGTTTGTAAAGGCACAAGCCACCACATTTATAGCAGAAATCTCAAACACTGGTAAAGTTGTTCGTTGTGACCGCAGTGCAGGGCTCTCTTTGGCCCTGGATTTATAAAATACTTGTAATCTGCTGAGATTCCTAGCAGAAAAAACTTAGACTGCTATATCCACAAACCAGACTAGTGATCTCCGAATACTGCAGTAGTAAGGATTCTTTCATTTCTTAGACTCTTGCTCTGCACGACATCTCCTTATTTAGGCTCTATGTTAAGGATTCTCAGATAATACACATGTAAAGAATAAAAAAAAATTTAAAAAAATCTAAGCACAACACTACCTGAAATGTTTACAGTGCTGAGTAAAACAAAGCTAACCTAGAAAGAGATACAACCATGGTTTTAGTTTATATACTTTCTAAGAACTAACTTGCAAAGCTATTATGATCCACTTCACAGGAACTCAGAGTAASTATTTTTAAATTGTTAAAAGCTAAAAAGCATATTCTTTAGAAGGAAGTCATATTCTCAATTGCAAAAGTTAATCTGATTGCTGTTTTTGTAGTCTGGAGGGTTTTTTTACTCCTTTGTACTAATAATTTAGCAACTAATGGCATTATTATTTTGCCAAGATAAAAATGGCTCTAGCCTTATATACAACTGTAAGATGGAAGATGACTGCCACAGGCACACTTTCCAGTCAGTAACAGAGGTATTCTGCACAACACTCTCAGCAGACACATGTACACTGTTAACTAAACAAGGTGAAGCATTCTCAAGTGCAAGTCAAGTGCACCTTTGTGCACTGCAGACTCGGCATCCATGTCTCTAGCTCCTCATTTTCCATAGGAACATCTGTTCTTGCTTCATACTAGTTTAAACAGGAGCATCATTGGCTAGATTTTGGTCTCACTTGGCAACGTCATCATCAAATGTACTGTATGTTTCCTTCCTACCTTTGCTTCCTGTTTAAATGTGAGATGTGTAGCAACAATATCACTGCGTGTAGACATTCTGAAGAGTTGAGTAACTGAACAATTTCCTTCCCTTTTAATCTCTCTGGAAACTAAAGTATCCAGTTCTGAAGGCTACAAGATCACCACATAAAGACCTGAAACTGAGTAAGAYCAGGAAGGAAGTCATATTTTCATCACCTCAGAGATGAGGCCCTCTAAATTCACCCACTTCAAGGATAGTAAGATAACTTGCTAGTAAAGTGCAAACTGGAACTGTATCTTTCACCAAGGGGGAGCTCATCCTCTAAAACTACTCTGGGTCAGTACCACTTAGGGTGGAAAGAATAAATGTACTGATTGGCAAATGACATCAAAAGATCAAACTCAAATTTAGTCCAGTCTATTTAAAACACATCATTTTTGAGATTTGAAATTCTATACCAAGATAACAAAAATTCAGGAAGCAGACTGGAGTGTACTGCTCAACATCTCTTATCAAAGAAACCAAATTAAAAGCCAAACCAAGTACTCAGGGATTTTAAGGGCAAAAATGGCCAAAGCTGTTAATGGTATGTTCTTCTATAAGCAAAAGGCGTATTTGGGTTAGCTACCTCCTTTTATTAAATTAAAATGGATGATGCACAAACATTTCCTGAATGGAGCCAATAGACAAAAGGATGCTGCACTGCATGTTAAGACTTTTAGCAAACTTGCATCACTATTGAGAAGTAAATCCAGACTTAGAACAGGWGCATAATCAATGCAACTATGGCATATAACATTTCCAAAAAGTAAGCATTAGATAAACTTGTAAGGTTTATTCTTGAAATATTAATTAATTTGTTAAACCTCTGCTGTTTTAATTTCTATTTAATTTTTAAATAAGCCACTTATAYCAGTAACTTTTCCCCAAAAAAGGAGGGAAAGTTCTGTCCAAATAAAAAAAAAGAGGTGCAGGCTCACAGACGTGCAGTTTCCTGAAAGACTAAAGAAGCTAAAAAGAAAATTTTGTCTATCTTGTTTTGGGGTACTGTTGCAGTTTCTTGAAAGCAAAATGAAAATAGGATACCCTATCACTTTCAAACTACAYAAAGGAACAAATCCTAAAAAATTAAGTTTGAGATGTCTTCCCTATTTGTAYTCTAACAGAATAGTGTCCCCTTCCACCCACACAAGCTTTCTAACTGAAGATAATAAATCAAATATAGGCAGCTAAGAGGACAATGGGAARGACAGTAATAATTGTGGTGAGAGTGAGTATTTACTATCTCAAGGTGCACAATTGGTAATTTCAAGGTATTTCAAGTGCAACACCATTCACTGTAATAACTACTAGACTGAGGGCCTTGTAGCCATCTCAGAAGAAAAAAAATGTTACAAAGGATTTACTAGAACAGGAATGGTACTTCCACAAAGTAGTTTACATAAACTGTATAGGAAATGACAATGTGTACATCCACTGATGTTTTTTATCTTCAGTTTTCYTGTTTTTAAACAAATTTAACCACAACTGGTAGAAACACGTTATTACTTATTTACACTAATATTAAGAACTCCTAATAATCACATTTAAAGGTACAACAAACCATATTTCAACATACCATTTAAAATTCAACTTAGAAATGGGCAGAAGAATGTAAGTCACTTTAGAAATCATAACTGAAGTAATATAAAATCACTTCACACTTTTCCTTAGTCCAGTAGAGATGGAATACAAAAAGACAGTGTAAATACTAGGAAAAGGGTATCAGTCCGGTTATCTTTTATATTCAATGTACCAAGGCCTTCCACACTTGCAGAAGACAACAGGAAGTGTGTGTTTGCCCCCACTTGTACTACATTTCTGGACAGTAGACATAACAGCTAGTTAGGTTAACAAATTTGCTTAGTTAGGTAACGAATTTGCTGACTATTAACTTTTTACAATAAAACGTAATTTAGAAAAAACCTGCACTGTTGTTCACAGATTTGACTGAGAAAGTAGTAGTCACTTATTTAGATGTTTAAAAAGACTTACAGAACTGGGTTTTCTGTCAGTTTTCTGTCTTTTTGAGGATGAACCTCTGCATCAAAACCATCCAAAGCAAGGTAAAATTAGCAGTATGCTACAATAAACATCTTGTATTTTTAATACTTTACTGCCAGTGATGACCACTTTTGCTTAATGTATGACCCAAATTTGACTTTCACATTAACAAAGAGGTGTAGCAATCAAAATGAGAACTTACCCCCTCATTGTCTCTGTGTGGATTCAGCCTACTATACACAGCTTCAATAATATTACGCCTAAAAGAGAAGTTTTAAAAAAATTAAGCACAACAAAGGATTTCAAAACACTGAGAAAAGTTTCATCAGCATATGCATTTCAAAGTGTTTAAGGTTCTTTTCATCTGCCTTTTAAAAAGATGAAACCCACACTGTATCTTTACTCATTTTCAGCAAGATRTTTGAGGATCTAGCAACTGGTCAGGATTTTTAAAGACTGAGCAAAGTAAAACAATTTTCTTACCTTACACACTCCATGGTCCCCCTCCTTCTAGAGTTGCATATTCAGATTTTGCCAAGAGTAACATTTAAATACCTATATTTCGTAGATTTTTTTAATAAGCAAGTTTGCTGCTTTTCTTGCCTTATTTCTGTATGTGGAACTTGAAGACAGTTCAGTTTTCCCCCATTTTTATTACACATACACAGGCTATTACAAAATTTTGAAGTGTGGTGTGCAGASTATACAGTCTCTGAGATGTGTTTTCTATTGTCTAGTCACACTGTAGAAATTAAAACACAAAAGCCACAAAGCGAGACTTTTTTTCCGGCAGTGCCATTTAAGGCCACACTTTCACAAGCAGGCAAATAAGCACAAAGAACTTCACAAAAAATAAAACCCAACATATAAACAGCCTTCTGAGACAAAAAAGGTTATATACTCACATCTTCAAATCAGAGTTAAAACTGGGAAACATTCAGACAACTATAATAAATATGACCAAAGTTACTGATAGCTTCAACAAAAAAAGAACTGCAACATGGAYTAAGACTCTTAAGTCTGGAAGTGACCAAGATCTTACAGAATGAGGGGTACCAAYTGTTGACTCTTCTAAAGAGCACAAAGGCATCAGATTAAGACAGAAGTAAAAGTCTCAAATACACAGTCATGCCTTTTGATGCAACAGAACTTTCTGCCCCAGAATACTGAGGATGCTCCAAGTTTGATGAGGCTTCTTGYGATCATATTTAAGAAATATGGAAAGGTTGCATAGCTGAGATTATATGGGATCCACTGGCACTGATGGAAGATCTTCCTAGAGAAAAGAAGCTGAATCTTTTTGCTGATGATACAGGAAAGGGTTATCACCATTTAGTTCCACATTTAGTGACAGAGAAATGGCACAATTCTGACTGAATGTCTGTACCACATAAAGCAAAGGTACCTCCAATGTAGCAGAAAACACTTGYACARTCCAAGCAAGGCTGCCACAGAAGCAGGAGGTAGCCACTGCAGTGGATCTAAACAGACATGAAAGRCAGGTCCTTGGGAGTCATCCAATCTTTTTCATTCACTTTTCTTTCTTTCAAAGTGTATTTCTCTGTGGTTCTCTTTAATGGGAAAACTCAGGAAGAAGATGCTGAGTGGACCTACTAGCACCCAGGTGCCAGGGTAGCTCAGCTTTTGTTTCCTTCAGCAACAACCAACCATTCTTGAGGCAGCATTTGAAATCTCAAGGGGATTAGAGTCAAGCCACAAAAGAGGCTTTGGAAACTAAGATTTTAAAGGATAAAACAGCTCCAWMAACTGACCACAGCAGAGCTGAAACRTTAGRTCKYCTGTCTCAAAGAATGGGCCAGTAGGGGCTTCTACACAAGTAAGAAGCTCCAAGAAGCATCCACCGCCAGTGTAAGTGCAGCTATTTCAGAGGTTCCTAAGATTTGCAAACAAAATTTAGTCACAATGTTAGTGTATTGCATTTCTCCAGCTCAGTTATACCAAAAACTGGGATCAACTTTAACTGGAGCTGAAACTATGGATGTTAGCCACAGACAAGATTATTTTGCAACCTCTTCGAGTCAGGTCTTGGGAGTTCAAACACAAGGACAAAGCGTAACTTCTTCAGGACCTGGTAACATCACAGAATAATGGCTTCAAGAAAAAGAATATTCTCTTTTTAGAGAAATTAAGTTAGGCATTATGTGGGTTTGGGTTGTGTAGTAGTATTTTTTCCAAGACTTCCATTAACTTYCTGCAACTAAACGGAACTTAAATACATCACTGCCTGTCTCTGTYCTAAGTTTGGAGGCTAAGGACAAGTTACTTAATACTGCATAATATTCTCTTGAAAGAAACTGCAGGCACACTCCTGAAGTGAGGGGACTTAAAAGTCAAGATGAAGAGAAAGGCACCTAAAYGCAAATTCTGAAACAAGTCCATGAAAAATGTAACTTGGATCACAATAAATTAAWACAGGATGTATAAGTCAAGGTTCCRGAACAGTGAAGCAGTACATGATCCAGTTTTTCATGAGCAAAACAACAAAACACAGCAGCTGGGAGGCACCAAGTAGAACARGCACACCAAAACTTCTCTGAATGCCTGGGATGCACACAAGTGGAGAAAAAGGCCCAGAATGTACAGATACTTCCAAGGCTATGGCAAACAGTTCTCATTCACAAGTGCATGCAATGGAAATAGATGTACGCACACAGAAATGCTCAGATGACAGGACTTCACATTTTGTACAATACAAATATTCCCAAAACAACATGMTCTATGCCAGGGAACAATAATGAGTCCTACTGTCTGGGGAATTTTAGATTAACAATTGTTTACACAATCTTAAATTCTTAATTTATAGGTTGCTAGAATATCACCATTGGGCTCTCCAGAAAGACAATGCAATTTCTGAAGGTTTATGCCTGGTAAGTTTTAAGATGCATATGCTAGTTCAATATTCTTTGTTATCTACCAGTTTCAGACTAAACAAATAAAAACAATTTTCTCATGAGAATCTTTGCTGAGCATATAATTACTGTCCCAAATTTGTAATGGATACTAAGTAGTTGGGAGAACATGACATGAGGAAAACTGATCTCGTGGCATTCTGATATACACATTGTTTGACAGCTCTTAACAAATGTAAAGCAGCAAAAAGCCAAGAATACATATATTTCTATTTTTTGAAATGTTCATMTGGAAATAGTAAACTAGGATGTTATGTACCAGAATATGATTGATGTGTTTCCTCTCTACCATTCTGGAATGGGAACAGTRATACAAACTGTTTATCTACCGCACAAGGCAAACTAGCTTCAAATATTAAAAAAACTTGATTTGAGTATAGCTATTACAATAAGAAAATGTTAAAAACATTTAAAGAGTTTCAGTGAATTTAAGAAATTTCAAGAAATTCCAGTACTATACTCACTTGCCAGCTAAACCACCTCCTGGTGGTAAATTAGGGATATTCTCTGCAGTTAAAATACGAATAACATGAGCAAGATCAGGCATTCCTTCTTCACCCGATTTTTCCATAATTTCTRATTTAAAAACAGAAGAAGTTCTGAATTAATATCACCCATTGGATAAAACACTGAAATATAAGATATTTTTATTTTTTAAAACAGACATTATGAAAAAGTTACATGTAAACAGGAAAACATTCTTTACATTTCAAGTTAACAGTCTTTGCATGGTGGAAGAGAGCTCAAATTCATAGTCTGTCTTCCCAGTATGCATCAAGCATTTCWCTCTAAGAGAAATTCAGAAGCAGACTGTGAACTGAATGAAATACCCTGGAGATAGCAGCCTGTTCTCTCTGMAAAAGGACAGCAGCTGGGAGTCTGTTTCAGTTAGTGTCCCACTGCAGCACAACAYGTTACATCCATAAAGCCAATGCTTCCCAGGGATTTCGTCGTGCTTCGTTGTGARGCTCAAAGGCCTGAATCTCCTGGGCATAAACACTCTGACCATCATGTTAATCAGGAGGATATATCATGGACAGATAATATTACCACTCAAGAGGCCAAAGCAGAATACAAAAACGATGAGAAATAATTAGAAGTAAGGTATTCCATTTTCAAAGCTGAAATATAACACAAGTCCAGTGCAAGTAAATTCTTCTACCTTGGAAAAGAAGTGCCTAAACTGGAATAAATGTTCACTGTTCTCTTTCCTCAGGGTTGCTGTTAAGATGAATGTGTAGGATCTCTGTACACATTCACACAGGTGTTACCCTACCAGCTTCCAGTCATCAGCCCCTGCATATTCAACAACTACCATGACATAAAAAGGTTCACTAAGTTACCTCCAAATTGTACTATGCATGAGTCACTCATTTTTTAGAGAGGATTTTTTTTCTGAAAACCAACTGAATTAAGGAACAGAGTGCCATTTCCTATAGACACTGCTCCAGATAAAATCCTCTTTGAGACACAAACCAGAAGAGTTAAGAATGAAACCTCTCAAGTATCATAGTAAAAAAACKTCAGTCTGTATCCGGGCTACTATCCAAATATAAGATACAAACAATTTAATTTTTTTTCCAGGTGATTATATGCTGGATGACTGACTGGAGCTTAAGCCAGAAGCAGATACAATCTGAGTTTCTTAAGTTAGTAGAAAAGCACACMACCTACCTACTTTAAACCCTTCATCCCAAGTTTCCTCGTATTTATACCTTTCTTGATGTCTATCACTTATCTAGGAAGCAAGTGATACTCAGGCTTCTCTTAGGACTACTAAGATCAACCAAGTGATTGGCAAGGAACTTGCTCACTTTGTATCAGGCAGATCGGTAGTAAAGACCCCCAAAGCAATTACTTGCAGGATAATTAAATTACCTTGCAACGAGTAAAGCACTACCACACTTCCAAACCCTCATTTTAAGCTAGCACCATACAATCTTTACAAATAAAATAGGTGCCCTACATYTAAAAGTGATTAAAGACTGTTCCATGAAACTTGATGTGCATTATCACCCATCTATTCATTAAGGATCAATCATGGCTAGCAAAGGAAATGACAGCTGAAAAAGTATGCCTGAATCTTAGGATTTGGATCACTTCTTCACGTAAGTTTGCCACAACTCTTATACACTGCATCCTTTTGAACAGTTCTACTTAGTTACAAGTAATTGTACTGCTAATATGTAATTTTGCTGAGACACATTTGACAGGAAATGTATCTTATGAATAAATACTATTTATACCAAGAGCAAATCTGGTTCTGTACGTAGGAAAAGTAGACAAATAGCAAGAATAAGAAGAAAGACTACAAAAGCAAGCAATTCCTAAATATTAATTGTAAGCACAAGTGTTACATCTTCTTAGGAAGGAATGAGAGCAATCACAGCTAAGGATAGTTGTATGTTTTTTGGTACTTGAAACATTTACGTTAGACTATATAATAACTCCTCAGRGAGTGCTGAACTGAACCAGGAAGCATCTTCTCTCCAGTTCTAAAAGGTAGAAAATCAGGAATTCTGGTTGAACTGATCATCATCTTTCTCTTTTCCTGATATTACAGGGAATAATTTCATCCAGAACTTGTCCCCACTCTTAAAAAAAGTTTCCTAATAGAAAATCAAGAATAAAGCAAATAAAGCAAGCATGGCTCATTTTCATTACACATCAGTTAGTAGAAACACACTGTAGATGTGCTTGACAAAGGCCACTAGAGAAAGAAACCAAATGTTTTCAGAAACAGATTTATGGGCATTTAAAAAGTTTTCACCTTCATCTCTGTGATGTTAGGAATAACCCTGCAATTAACTTTGCATTACTAATTTCCTGATATTATTATATACGCATTAAAACACTTTTCACTAAAAGCCTAACATCTAACTCATGGACAAGCATTTTGAAAACTCAGGTAACATTTTATTTCAATTTTATATAGTCCCCAATCAGACAGCATTACAAGTTTTCCATGTTGCAGCATCACCTTTCATGCCCAGCTACYATATTACAACAAATCAGTTTTGCATACAGTATATATTCCACATATGTAAAATGCCATCATCCAACTCAGCAGATCAACTAAGTATTTACCAATAAAACTGTTTAAGCCTACACAGATCATATGCCCCTATTTATGATTTGACTGAATTGACTCCTGTGCCTAGTTTTCTCCTCATGGGACCAAACTTTAGATCTCTGAAAAACAGAGAAAAACAGAGAGCAGAAGTAGTATTTGCAAGAAGCAGTAAAATGAGTGACCTAGCATAACCTCACTACTGTCCAAAACACCTGTGGAAGGTCCCCCATCCATGGCAATGGGGCTGGAATTASATGATTTTTAATATMCTGTCCAACCCAAACCATTCTGTGATTCTATGACTGTATTTTGGAGAYRGACCAATTAAATGACTCAAAMCAGAAGCAGGGCTTTGCTCAGAATSATAAATGACTCAAGCACTAGCTTAATATCATTAAGTATTTCAGTATACTCTAGAAGGGGCAGCTTTGGAATGCACTCATCCACATTCTGTCAACCTCAAAACCCAAACTAGCAAAAGAGCATAGAAAGTTCTCTACAYTATGACTTGCTTAGTAAATCTGCTAAAATAAAAACATCTATTTTGRTATTAAACCAGTAATTCTCTTTAAGGAACTCTGGAAAGATCTCATGGAACTACTAACTCAGCTTGTCATACAAATATACAGGATCTAGCATTCCACTTAGGAATGCACAAAGAGTACAAATGTTACATGTGCAAATATTAAACTGCTTTTCAACACAATTTTTTCTTTTTTATCTTTTTCAAAATCAAACAAAAGCATGCCTAAACACTGCTTTTCTCCCAGAGCCAGTTTAAAATGCCCTAGTAGGGAAAAAAAAATGTCTTGTCTAAAAGGTTTGATGGGTTAGTACAGTCAGCTTGAAATTTAACTCCACAAGAGAACAGAATCAGAAGAGTGTGTATTGATTAAGAACAAACACCAGTGATCAAACTATAATTGCTTCAAGAAGTCCCAAAGGATTTTATACTAAGCTCTAATGCTGCCCTGATTTATATTAATCACTTAGTGAAAGAGGACAGTATCCAAGAGAACTCATAGCTTTTGTTTTAGACAACATCTATCTTTGCAGCTTGGTAATTCAAAGACAAGCTTATTTTTTTCAGAAGGTTTTTATTACAGGTATAAACAAAACTGTTATTGGTTCTCAACCAAGCAAATATAACTTGTGAACTGATAAATCTAACAAATTTAAGAAAAACTGTTCTTGTTAACTTGTGTTCAGACATCTTTACTTGCTTTTCGAAAGGAACAGTTGTCATCTAGAAAGGTATTTTAAACAAATCCATATTATCAATGTCACAACATATCTACCAGGGTTTACATTTTCAGAATTAAAGAAAGTTTAAACCTTTCAGGCACAACTCTTTCATRCACTGTTTTCTACATTATACTTAGTCAAAAGAGGAACGGAAAAGTGATTAAGGCAGTTGTTTTTTCCTAACCAAAAATAAATTCTCACTTTCCAAAACTTTTCCCTACTGCAACACTTGAGATTATACTCTTGCCCCAGTGGTTTGGGTTTTTTTTTTTTTTTTTTGTTTTTCAGTCAAAAGTATCCCTGCTCACTACTTAAACTTTTAAATTAGATACTGTTTTTAAAAATTACAACAAATTTCTAAACTATTTTCCTCATGCTGCTCGGTGGTTTGAAACATTTTGCTAAAGCTTTTGTCATTTCTGAATTCATAATATTCAAGGCACATGTGTAAGGTAAAACAGAAGTCCAACAACTTTGTTTTTAATTAAGAAAACTGTGTCAACATTACAATTTCACAGAATTTATGAATGCAAAAATTTATTAAAAATCAGTTATTTTAAKTTCTTCTGAAGTCTGCTTCAATTACTTTCTCCACTTCTTGTCCGAATTTCCTCAAACACGCTAACTCTCATTTCTTGCTAAATACTTGTCATTTAAAGGCCTTGAATTCTGTCCAATTAGCAGACCACAGAATGACACAGGGGACTCAAGCAGGGGAAAAAAATACCAAAGAGCTGAAGCAACAGAAGTTCAAGCTTTGGGAAAACTAATTTCTCTGAAGCACTTAAGCTAAACAATCATTTTGAGTTATATTTGGAATGACTCCATATCAATTTAGACTACAAACTCTTAACTATTTTCTTTGATATGTGTGTTAGTTATTATTAGTTAAATATGATAATAGAGCTAAAATTAATCAGTTAACAAATCAGTTAATCCAGTCACTCTGATCGCAATTTATTTGACAGCTTTTCCATTTATCTCAACATTCAYTTATAAAAAAAATAAAATACACTGCAGTTCCATATATTTTTCATCTATTTGCTAACGAAGGGAAGCCAACAAGAAGCTGGCAATACTAACCTGTAACCACTGTGCACACCTGACTGCTGCCAGTGARGGCAACTGCTCCTGGCTCTGTCCCAGAGCCCATTAACAGCTCATGTGCTCTACTCTGACAGAGAAGATAACCGGTATTTATCTTAACTAGTGTCATCTAGGAAGCCTGGGATGTAAGCCAAATTCCAAGAAACAGGCCTAGAGTTAGCATTTGAAGTGACCACTAGCACTCTCTAATCTCAACAGAAAATACAAATATACAATCCATTTCAATTTAGATCCCATTTAAACAAGAAGAAAAGACACTATTACACAACAGCTGTGTGCTCACAGATACTTGCATCTGAAGACCATCATACATATATATTTTAATTTAGGTTGGCTACATCAACTATCTAGACAACTGGGATATTGACACAAAAACCCAGGACAACTTTTTCTTTTTGTCAAAAACTTGCACAGAAAAAGAGAAGAAATATTTCATATTTCTTTTAATATTTCATAAGCAGGACATTAGCAAGATCACAATTTACTGAGCTGATACAACACTCTKCGAAGTTGGTTAATTGCATTTTAACCTATTAAGACAATAGTAAAAAAAAGCTCACATTAAAAAATGTTTGCAGAATACCAGGATAAACTGGCCTGGTATAGCACATGGCCTAAAACATTCTTCCTGACATACAAAAGTTTAAAGTTATAACCAGGCCAGAATATAACCCAATATAAAGTGCCATAATGTCTTTCATAGCTTTTGTTTTCATGCTCAAGATAGTTATGACACTATCATGCTCACTATCACAAACAAATTGTGATTTGTTCACTATCTAGTGAACTAAATGGATTTCTTACCTTCAACCCGTGATTCCAAGTATTTATCCAACTCAGCATCTTTTTTCACTGCCTCCTCTGAGACCTTAGGAGCATTTGAAAAACAAACTAATACAATACTCATGTTATCACGACTCCCCTAAATAACAAAAAAAAAGGAGAAGTTAGTACCTTTTGTCTTATTCTTCATTTTTCTACWCTAATCACATTTGTACTTTTTCCAAATGTATTACTACAGGCAGAGATGGGAAGAAAAGCAACCCTGAAAAAACACTGTATTTTGATTAATAAGAACCTCTAAATCTCCCAACCACAACACTCCCTAGAATTAATTTTACTGATTTTGACTGTATACTCTTAGCATTGAAATTTAAATAATTAATAGGTTTATTTACATATCAACCATTTAAAAATAGTATCAATAAAACAGGTCAGAAATTAGATAAGCATGTAATGCTATCTGAAGCCAAATTATAAAACGACTCCTGTTRCAAAATGAAATGCAGAATACTCTCCTGTACTATTAGAATAGCTAAGCTCAAGCAACTAATTTGTTTTAGTTGCAGGGCGTTCATGTAAGCCATTACATGCATTACAAGTCTGTTTATCAGAATGTAGCTGTATCACACAGCACCTTGAAGCAAGTATAAAACAYGAATTCGTATAGCCAAGCTGACCTTATAGATTATCATGTGCTCAGAAATATCACCCAATGGATTTTTTAGATATTAATTTTAATGCCAGTTCTTTACTACCATCCTCTGATACAACTTTCCTGCTCATATTTAATTTTCAAAATTATAATTCACAGCCAAATTTAAAACCACAATTCTACGTCTCTTAGAAGGAAGAACCTTAATTTAAACTACTGGTTTGAAAATAAAATCTTTATTTTTTTTTTGTGTAGAATATTAAGTGCCCTTACTCTTATTGCATATTGTTGCTGTGTAAACTCAAGCTACTGGATAGTTCTAAGCATCTATCACAACAAATCCTTCTCCTGAAGCAATTAATTAAGCATTTAACATTAGAATGAATTCCTTCAGAAATACTAGTCAGGAGTTAGCCTGCATTCCCTTTTGTACCAAGCATATGAGGACMTCTATAATTTAGTATTATGTGGTACAATTCACAGCTTGAAGACAGAAGACAACATTCTAATATTGTTACAGAAATCCAGCATCTGACTTTGGAAAATAAACACGTGGTTAGCACTCAGTTTTACCAGAAGCATCCCAGTGTGACCATCCTTTAACAAGGCTGGTCAAGTGTTTGGTCAGAAAAGTCACAGCATTTAAACCGATCATACACTATATGGTATGTGCTGAAACACAGCCCTATTTCTGGGGAAAAAAAAAACACAACTTACCCTTTAGAGTTACAATTGTGAATTTTAATATTTTCCCCCAAACTGCACATTTTGTCTGTGGCTAACAAAGAAACTCSGTTTGCATAGTAGGAGTTGCACTTTTCAGGGAATGCAGGAAATGGAATATGTGTTCAACATACACAGACTGACCATTAGTCACTCCAAAGAAATTAAATTTGTGGAACACAAGCAAGCTCAGATGCAAGAGTAGTGTTACTCCATCTAAGCTACACTGAGCTGAGGGCACCACTTCAGGTGACAGACAAGCCTTGAAATATAGTGATGAGGAGATGGTGCCAAAACTAGCCAACTTCAAAGAACAAAACAACTCACAGCAAAGTGCCTTGMTCAGAATTGATTAATTTTATAAATTTTGTATTTAGAATCAAAGTTTAGAGTTGGAACTATATGCAAGCAATTCTTCAGAAAATAAAATAACCCTTATTTTTGCTGTTGTATTACCTCTCAAAGCATAAAGAATGAGGCTGYATATTCTTTAGCAAGTATATATAGTAAAATGGGTACAGAACTTTAAGGAAAGGAAGACGGAGAAGGGGGAACAGTAGGTCAGGAACTGCTGTTAACACTGTACTCATCTAACCACAAGATAATTTTAGAACAGCTGCTTGGAGAAAAGTTACATACCTTATGTAAACAAGTGTCCACTACCCAATTGCACACTTTTTCCAGGTCATCTGAYACTTCAAGTCTAGACTTTACAAATTCACAGAGCTCTTCATTGCTCATTACATCCCAGATTCCATCACAAGCCAGGATGATAAACTCATCTTCTTCTGCCCTTAAAATTTCACACACCTCAGGCTCTGGAGAAACAAGTTGTTCTGTAGGGCCTTTACCATCAACACATTTGTAGTCATAGTCCCCCAGAGCTCGAGAAACCGCCAATGAACCATTAACACGCTGAATCATGACACTGCCTCCTGCATTCTGGATTCGCTCTTTCTCCCTTGGGTTGCAAGGTTTGTGATCCTGTGTTGAAAAACAGACTTGTCCATTCCTATAGAGAACAGCACGTGAATCACCACAGTTGATAAAGTATACATGCTCAGGTGAAATCATAACTCCCACTGCTGTTGAGCCACTTCTGTCCATGCCATTTCTGAGGTCTGAGAAATTGCGCATATACTCATCAATTTTCAAAAAGCCAGTTCTGATTCCACTCTTGACATTTTCCACTGAAGGTTCAAGAGCAGATCCAGGTTTTTCTGTCGCCCTAAAGTCTTCATTGTTAGTGATGTGTTCTAATAAGTGCGAGGAGCAGTAATTTGCAACACGAGATCCTGCATGACCATCATAGACAGCAAAAAAGGACCAGTCCTCTAAGCCATGGGGAATACCTACAACAGCTGTGTGAGCATCTTCCATTTCCACTCTCCACCCCTGCATGCTGCTGAGGCCATAACGCAAGCCATTCCCYGCACCATGAGCATTATGTTTTTCAGTTTTTGGTTTATCCAAAAATGCACCCATGTTTATGCAATTTTGAATCTGGAAAACAGAGAAAAAAGTCTTATTTATGAAACCACCATTCCATACAAGCTCTGTTATCCCCTTCCCGCATTTCTTTTTTATAAAAGTGATAAAGAATGCATACATACAAAAGTCAACAAGTATACTGGAGGAAAAAATAATATAGGACACAAATGAAGTGTGAATTCACAAACCTCTGTTTGCATTTTTGGTATTTTCTTTGGTGGAGTACTGTCTTTTTTAAACAGTTACTTCATGAAAATTAAATGATCTCCATATGAAGGCAGAATAGTTCACATACCTTTTCAGCCCTGCTGATTTTGTCATTCTCTGCAGAAAGTAATTTATGATGGAAAAACAACAACTGTATCACTCCTACTCTATTSCCATTTTTACTGTGCTGTGAAGAAAATCAATTCGTGTTCATAAATAAGAACTGACTGGTCTCGCTAGCTTTGCATGTACCATGCTACTTTTCTGCATTCTTGTAAGGCATGGCAAAAGTGATAATACGGGAACATAGACCATCTGCCAAAGGAAACAAGGCACTAATGCCCACTTAAATACAAGAAAACCTCTCACAGGAACCTTTTAACAAATTTTACTTAGTCCTTTATAAAACAATCTTTCTATATTTACGACAGAATAATAGAATGGTTTGGACTCGCAAAAACTTCAAAGATAATCTTCTTCCAACAGTCCCTGTCATGGGCAGGGACTGCAACAAAGCCCCATCCAACCTGGCCTTGAACACTTCCAGGGATAAGGCATACACAGCTTCTCTGGGCAACCACTTCCAATATCTCARCATCCTCACAGCAAAGAATTTCTTTCTTATCTCTAATCCAAACCTAGCTTTTTTCAGTTTAAAGCCATTATCTTTGTCCTCSCACTACACTTGGCCAATAGTCCCTCTCCAGCATTCTTGTATGCTATCTTCAAGTACTTAAAGGCCTCCATAAAATCTCCCCAGGTTTCTACACTCTGAACAACCTCAGCTCTCAGCCATCTATAAAAGATTTTCACACGCTTACATGGGATTTTAAATTCAAAGATTCTGATGTTAAAATTTATTCAGTTACAAGAGATCTAAAGGAAGTAAATAATCTAAAATATCTAAAGGAAGTAAATAATCCACAGAAAGTTAGAAGTTCTTCAATATTTGGAGACCATCTGCAGAGAGCAAGCTCACAAATAAAATGTCAATAATCTATGTTGAAGGACTTCTTTAGAGGACTTCTGGTTTCCTCTCCTGTACTAAACTCAGATGTCCTACACAGACCTGAAAAACTAACTTGCCCTTTACAAAGTCAGCAGAGAATACATTCTTTAACCACATATCTCAGAAACTCAAATACTATACTTCTGACCATGCTAAATGTCATCACCCTATGAAATCCTTAGATGTGAAATWACAGCAGATTTAATCCAAAAGTAATTGGTGAGAATTCTGCCATGATTGATCCTGAGCAGTCACTACTCTCTGACACAGTAGTACCCACCAAGTCCTACAAAGTCATGAYGGTCTATTACTGGTTTAAGAATTTGTTACCAGGTCAGGAAGAGGTTAATTAATCCTTACTTCAGTCCTTCCCCCATCTGAACTAAGTATACACAGGGCTAAACATAGACAAACCAAACTTCAYACTACCTCTCTGCTACCATGATCTCCATGCAGTGCTGAGGATCCCCACTATTACAGTCCCCAAGAGCTTACTCAGCAGTTATGTGCAACACTGTGAATTGGTGGAAAGGACACACAAAATGGATCCACCACTGAGATACGTGGTCAGAACTTTTCACAACCTTTTCTCTCAAAACATCTGATTTTGCTTTGAAAACAAAATTATCACAAAATCCACAAAAGGCAGTGCAACATACCACCACAAACAAGAGTTCTCAGCAACTGATGTTCTCAGTTAAGAGCTGAACATTAAGTTCCATAGTATTAAGTACCACATAGTTTAATAGTGCAACTAAYATCTGTAAAGGAGACTTGTGAAAGGATTCTAATAGGTTATGATCACAATATACAACTATTTTAAGAGCACACAAAGCATTCTTACYAATAAAACTGTCACAAAGGACTGAAATGCTGCCAAAATGACAGATATCCTCCAGTACTTCAGACCTTCTATGAGATTTCTTTAATTGCGTTAAGTATGTCCTTACTTTCTTAAAATCAAAAATGTGGAAGAAATCATGTGACTCAGTGAAGAAAAAGATAAAAGCCTATGTAATTGCAAAGGCCTGGGAGCTCAGTATTGTGTTTTATATATGTAAAATAAAACACATTAAAAAAAAAATCGAAGGCATGTGTCACCTCTTAGTTTTACTGCTTTCACAGYTTCACTTTTTTACAACTCATAAGAAACTGGGAAAAAAACCAAAATCACACTATTCAGGATRATGTTCTTAATATTCTAAATATCCCATTTAATATTGCAAATAAARGATGCAGTGATTGATTTGCAATCTGGAAGAATCAACTTATGTCCTTTGCCTCTTAGGCTTTCATCGCACATCTCCAGAAACAACATAGCTCTACATTCTCTATCCCTCCCACAACTGCGTTGGAATACAGCTTGGCCTTTTGTCCTCCACACTGAAGAAACTCCTATCTCACCTCTCCTCACACATCACATGCTCYGGCCCCTCAGTAACAGARRGGCTCTCTGCTCAGCTTGCTCCTCCATGTCTGTACCTTCCTTGTACTGGGAAGCGAGGAGTCCACAATGTATGGCAGAGGCAGCCTCACAGGTTCCAAACAAAGGAAAACCATCACTTCTCCCCAGAATGTTGGATACACCTTTTCTAATATGAACCAAACTTTYCTCACTACAGTCACAGTGCAGTCTAATGCTCACCACACTTGTCCTGATTCTCCACCAGGACCCTATGGTTCTTTCCTGCAAAGATCATTCCCACAGTCATCACCTGGGCTGTACAGAGGGCTGTACTTTATTCCAAGTACATGACTTGATCATAGCTCCTAAGGTTACCATCAGACCATCTGTCCAGCCTACCATGATCCATCTACTGTCAATGCCTACCCTTGGGCCAACTGACCACTCCTTTGTATTACATATTTTAAGTATGAATACCCTTCCACTGTCCAAGTTTTTAAAGAAGACTTCACCATACTTCCTCTTAGTCAAAACATCTCAATGATTCTTAAGGGAGTCAAAGCATTAAGCCCCAAACATCTTTGTAGAGGAAGATTCAGTCTCTAAATAAAACACAGTCAGCAGAGGAACAGATGAAGCACCCACATGCAAACCAGTAATTCAGTCATGGCTTTAATCTGCATAAAATCAAAAATTCAGTACCCTTCAGTCTTGAGATTTATTTTCCAAAGATCCCATTTTTTAAATGAAATTTAATTGCATRACAGATTGGTTTGAAAAAACATACTAATTTCCTTGTGGTGAAAATGTTTATCCTCCATAAAATTATTAGTTGAATCTTTCAAAATCAGAAAGATCATGTCTACTATAAATCCTGTAATTATCTTGGAAATGGAGAAGGCTTAGTTCTTGTCCATGCTCCAGACTTTTCATTAAAACACTATAAGACACTATAGTGTCTTAACACTACATTCAGATCTAGAATGAAACCTTAGAATTCTCTTCTCCTGGCAGTCTTTCCGACTCTGGGGAAAATAAAACAATATCAATCAATTTTTTTTAAAATGTATTGCCTGACAAGAACCAATAATCACCAAGGCTCARAAGATTTTGGAATGACTTCACAAAGGAGAAATTGAGAAAATTACTGGCCTTTGCCCCYCTCTGGCAATGAAGAAGCTGAATCTGAGCAATACACTGCTAACACAGAGCCTCCAACTASCTCTCTAGCACTCACTGTTCATATCTAGCCTTAATCAATTGGTGAGTCATTTCCAAGAGAGTTCAGGGCAACAAGTCTCTAACAAAAGCTGACATCCCATTCCCAGAGCAAAAATCTAACCCAAGGCTTACTTTTCTGAAGTTCCAACTTATGTTTTTCTCTAATGCTTTCTACCTGAGTCAAATCCTACATGAGGTCCTTGCCTTACATACAGGCAATATAGGCAACAATTCAGGCTCAGGAAACCAAAGATATCCAGCCTTTTGAGGTACAGTGGTATGAAGGCAAAAGTCATGTCCTCTGACATGCAAGAAAATTTCATAATCAATATTCTTTCAGCCCCAGCTACACAGTGAAGACTCTTTGGTATTAGATCAGCCATACAGCAAAGAGATCAGATCTTAAAATCAGATCTGTGCATAAGCTTGTGYTTACATTTAAAAGACAAACAACCACACAAGCTAATTTTCTCCAAAGGTCTACTTAAAAAATGAGAAATGGTTTTTGCTCAGGTATACATATTCATGATTTTCTACTATATCATAAAGGGAAAATAGGCAGCTACTTTGAAGTGAAAAGCGTGTTCCTTTCCATTTAGATTTACATTGAACAGGCAGAAATATTTAAGTGATGACTGTCATGAAGGCTAGAGATGTCCTGACTTGAGCTGGGATAGAGTTAATTACCTGCCTAGTATCTGGTATAGAGTTGTGGTTTGGATACAGTGTGAGAATAATGYTGATAACCCACTGAGGTTTTTAGTTGTTGCTATGTACTGTTAGTTACACTAAGTCAGGAACTTGACAGTTCGCATACCCTGGCAGTGAAAAGGCAGGAGGGGCACAAGTCACAAGGGACACAGTCAGGACAACTGGCCCAAACAGGCCGAAGGGATATTCCAYACTATATGATATCATGCTTAATATATAAACTGGAAGGAAAGCTGGCTGGGACTATGGCTTRGRAACTGGCTGGGCATCAGTCAGCAAGAATAACTGCATTCTGCCTCACTTGTTTTGCATATTTTTGTTCTTTTATTATAATTTTCTTCCTTTTTTGTCCCATTAAACTGCCTTTATCTCAGCCCACAAGTTTTCTCACTTTTATTCCTCTAATTCTCTCCTCCATCTAAATAGGTCAGGGGTAGTGAGTGAGCAGCTGTGGGGTAG